AACAGCATTTTGTTGAGGTGGCATGAAAATAAATGATTCTCAGCCCTGGCTCCATGTCCTGAGAACTGCAGCCTTTAAAATTGTGGATGGCTCCCAGATTCTGATTTGGGGAGGGGTGTCCATTCAACTCTGATTTTTAAAAAGCTGTCTTTTTAAGCATGACTCTGATTCATGGGTAGAATTGAGGGCTGGTTAGGAAAACTGCACAAAAAATTGCTCTAAATCCAGAAGTGCAGACAGGAATCAGGAGATTGTGGACTGTGGGTTCAAAATTCCTGAAGATTTTTAAAAAATATCTATCAGAACCTCTCTCCCCCATAAATAAAAAAACCAGAATGAAAAAAAGAAAATATTGCAGAAGTCTCTTAGGAAAGTTGTCCTTGTTTAATTGAGTGTAATGAAGCAGATGGGCAAGTTTTTCGGCGAAAGCCCAGTCGGGCTCACAAGAGGTGCATCAAAGAGTTTTGTTACCAAGATGCTAGACTAAGTTAATTAGGAAAATGTTTCTGTTTTCCAACTCTCAGGTTTTGTCTTAAGGAGAAAATACATCTGATCTAGATTTAAACTGAATTAATTTCCTTAGAGATTAGAGACCATGTGAAACTAAATGTTTTGCTTTTCTTACTCCCTACGATGGCTTCATGATTCTTTTTTTCCGACAGAGTCTTACTGTGTTGCTCTCAGTAGAGTGCTGTGTCATCACAGCTCACAGTAACCTTCAACTCTTGGGCTTAAATGATTCTCTTGCCTCAGTCTCCCAAGCAGCTGGGACTAGAGGCATCCATCACAAAGCCTGGCTGTTTTTTTGTTGCAGTTGTCATTGTTGCTTAGCTGGCCCAGGCCGGGTTCGAACCTGCCAGCCCTGGTGCATGTGGCTGCGCCGTAACCACTGTGCTACAGGCGCTGAGCCTGGCCTGATGATTCTTAAGATTGCTGTTAGCTTTTAAATTTATTTTATGAAAGCATGTTTTCCAGATGCCTGTCACCTGTTACTACATGTTTGTTTTATATCCGCATGTAGATGGAGAGAAAGATTTGATTTCTTCCTCTAAATTTATTACAGTTCGCTTTAGTCATCACAGACTAAAGATTTAAAATTTGATACTTTTATGATGCCACTTTCTAAAAGGTGTTATTTATTGCAGATAACTGGCCTTCTGAGTAGCTGTGATGAACGTTCGATGTGTGATCAGAAATCTGCTGTATTTCTGAAAATGAACTTTTTATTTTAGGATAATTTTTAGATTTACAGAAGTGTTGCAAAGACAGCGCAGAGTTTTCACACACTCCTTACCTGGTTTCCTCCACTGTTGATTTTTACATAACCGTGGCACATTTCTTACAACTCAGAAGCCAGCTCTACTACATTGCTATTAACTGAACCCCAGAAGTTATTCGGATGTCACTCGTTTGTCCGCTGATGGCCTTTCTCTTTGCCGGAATCCAATCCAGGATAACACATTGCATTTAGCTATGGTATTTTTAAAAATAGAAAATGAGATGGTTAGGTGGAGCACTGTGAAAATGGAATAGCGGACATCCTTTCTTCTCTTCATTTCTAGATCTTTGCTTCTCTTTCCCCCTGGCCCGACCTCCATCGAGGTCTATTTCTATGGCAGTGGTCAGCATTAAGCTGTTATTTTCCTCTCCCTTTCTTATCTAAATACTTCTTCTCTCAAATACCTGCCTTATAGCAAATTAAATAGGTTAAATTGACAGCCACTTGATGTCTTAGTTTTTGACTGAGTTTTTACACTTAAAAGAACATACCCCAAAGGCCATGCCCCAACCCCTCAGAATGGATCCATTATGGAGGACTACAGTGGATTATCAGAAAGATGTTTTGCACTAGGGCCTCCCTCTCCTGCACTCTTGTGCTTCTCTCATGTTTTCTGAAGAATCACTGTACTGCTGTGCACCAGTGGGAGCGGAGCTGGTCCCTTCATTGTGTTCAGGTTATACCAACAGAGTGAGGTTGTGGGGTTTGTGGGGGGTCCAGCCCCAGCCCCGTTGACCAACTCTGCATCTTGATGATTGCAGCAAGGAAGGAGATGGGGTGTTCCCAGGGGAAGGGGACGTTTGTCACCTCTAAGTAAATGCCTCTATAGGTTTTCAGATGGCAGTAGTTCTCTGACTAAAGGTAGAGAACGCTGTAAAGTGCTGGTGTGGCCTTTGGTAGTATTTCAAATTTAAGATTGTGGAATCACCCTGAAAGATTCTTTATAAGAGATCATTTGGTGCAGGCCAGGTTCTCTGGCTGGTTAATGAATATAAGTTGTTTGTTCTTCTAACATAGTTATTTTCTCCTATTTCATTTCATTTTCAATAAAATGAAAATTTTACTAGGAAAATTTTCAAACGTAAAGGAACATTAAAAGCGTTTAATAATGAACACGACACACCTAGGTCCTGCTGCTGCTGTGCTTTCTCTATCACGTATGTGTCCATCTGTCAACCCGTCAGCTCACTTTCACTTATGGAAGCATTTTAACATATATACAGACCTCAGTATACTTCTTCCTGTTTACTTTGGTATTAACATAGTTATTTTTGAGAAAGCACAGAAAATAAGAATTTCGTGCTCTAAAACTTCAGAAAACTCTTGACACAAAGAATTTCTGATGATTTCTTATTATTTTAGAAGTGATAGGAAGTTTAGAGACAGGAGGGCCTTTTTGTTCATTTTCATTTTCGTTGCGGTTTCTCTTTGAGTTTTTGTCTTTTCATTTTTCTTTCAAGTTTTGCTCCAGGGCAGAGTTCACAAAAGTAAGGCTTGAGGCAAAGATAATTTGAGTGTCACCTTAGAGCTGACTTTCCAGCTTTGGGAGAAAAATGCAACCTATTGCTTGAATTTCTATTGGGGAAAATGTCTTTTAAAAATCTAACTGTCCTTACATATTTTTGAAATACAGTGAGTAGTTGCTCCAAGTAATGATTTGCTAACCCTAATCTTTCTTTAAGGGTCTCTTAACTTTAGATGAAATTGTACAATAAGGCAATATTGTCCTAGGACATTTTTCTGTTATCAAGTTAAGATGTCAAATAATCCGTGTCTTTTCACTTTAGCTTAGTGCTTCTCTAAAAGCATCAAGGCTGCCTGGAGACTTTGTTAAAGATACAGATTCTCTCCTATCTCCATGAAGTTCTGAATCATAGGCTGGGGGTGGAGCCCATGGGTCTTTTATACTTGTCCTAGATGATTCTAATGTAGATGGTTCACCACCCACCTGAAAATGCTGCTCTAAGAGCTTTTGAAAATTACTGACGTGGGTGCAGAGAGAAGGGAACACTCACACACTGTTGGTGGGATTGCAAATTAATATAACTGTTTTGGAAAGAAGTATGGAGAATCCTCAACGAACTGAAAGTAGGCCTCCCAGTTGATCCTGCAATCCCATTCCTGGGTATCTACCCCGAAGAAAAAAAAATATTTTATTACGAGGACATTTGTATTCAAATGTATGTAGTAGCTCAGTTTACAATTGCAAAGCTATAGAATCAACCCAAGTGCCCATCAACCCTTGAATGGATTAATAAACTATGGTATATGTACACCATGGAATACTATTCAGCCATAAGAAAGATGGAGACTTTATATCTTTTGTATTTTCCTGGATGGAGCTGAAGACCATTCTCCTTTGTAAAATATCTCAAGGGTGGAAAAACAAAGATCCCATGTACTCAATACTAATTTGAAACTAGCAGATGAACAACTATAGGCCCACACAAGAGAAAACACAATTAAATTTGGGAAGGAGGAGTGGGAGTGCAGTGGGTTTCCACTTATCAGGTATAATGTAGGGTATAGGGCTCATCAGCTGGGTGAAAGCCTCAACTACAACGGGGACTATACCTTACAAGCACAGACAATACCCCAATCGTACATACCCTTATGTTAATGCAAAAAAAGAAAATTATTGTCTCTAGATGTTGGAACACAGCGCAGCTACCCTGACCATCTCTCCTTTTAGCTTTCTTGAGTTCTGTAATGGTGGTTCTCTTTAACAGATCGCCGTGAACGCCAGCAGTATCCCCGAGCAAATACAGTCCCTCTCTGTGCACGACTCTCAGGTATGTTTCTCTGACAGTCTTTCCGTTTGAGATGCTTTTCTAAAGACAGAGCTGTGGGAAAACCAACATTTTAGAAAGAAGAACAATTTTAGGGTAGTACTTCCAAATCAGGTCTTTTTGAGCTCTCTTTTTAAATAGGTTACTGTTGACCACGCTTTCCAGGACCTCTAACCTTTAAGTGATAGGTTCGAGAGTGAGAACTGATACTCAACTGCTTCTGAAATTTCTGGTGCTGTGGAAAATAAGGCAGGAGAGAAACTGACTCTACTCTTCTGTTATATTCCAGCCAGAAAGCATTATGGTTGATTGAGACTTTCCTGTTTTGCTGCTGGTTGGATTTCTATAACCTGTTTTATTTCATAATTCTTTTATCATTGAACTTTATGGGCCAATTCGTCTCTACTTGCCTTATAAAAATAATAGTCCAGTGACTATAAAATGCATTTGTAATGCATATTTATAGAAGTTATATGAAAGAAGATGTGTGTTGTGAGTCCTGTTGGGTGGTGATAAAGGGTGTAAGTCAGGGGTCCTCAAACTTTTAAACAGGGGGCCAGTTCACTCTCCCCCAGACTGTTGGAGGGCCGACTGCGGGCCTCGGACGAGTTGGCTGCTAAGCAGGACAGGCAGTGGCGGCAGGCCAGATAAATGTCCTAGGCGGGCTGCATGTGGCTCGTGGGCCGTAGTTTGAAGACACCTGGTGTAAGCCATCCAGGGGAAAGACTATGGACCCTGAAGCAGAGTATGGGCTCGTGTTCTGGTTTTGCTGTATAATTTACATGCAGAGTCTAAGTAGTTGTGCTATAGAACATCACCAGTCTTAGGTTCATAATTTTTTTCAAAATCTGCACATTCCAATTAAATTCATTTCTGTTTCACCTGCTGTGTGTTTTCGTGAAACAGCTGTGTATTAGAGAGATGGTTAGAGTGATGGGATTTTGTGGTTGTGGGAAGCCTGTGGGATAGACCAGTGGATAGGTTGTCTGGGCCCTAACTTTATAGTTAAGGAAGCAAAGACTTGCAGAGGTTAAGTGGCTTGCCCGTGTCACACCCCAGTTAGAGGCTGGACCAGGAATCAGTTTAGGTGTCTATCCTGAGGCAACTCAGTAACAGAGCTTGAGGTAAGAATGTAAGAATTGGTTGAATGGGAAAAGCAAGTGAAGGATAATAATGGTGAGAAGACAGAGTAAAGGAAACAAGAAAAGGGATTAGGATAACTAATCTCTTTACACAGTAGTGCTGTGTAATACTTCAGAGTTACTGACTCACTTTCCTATGTATTGTCAATATTCTTCCAGCAACCTTCTGAGGCAGGTGCTATCCCCATTCTGTAAATGGGAGAATAGACGCAGACAATGACCTGCTCATGGTCAGTGGTGGAGCCAGATCTTGACCTTGTATTTCCTGCTCTAACAAGAAGCTCTGTTCATGTCCAGAGATTCCTAGGATTAGGGGAGGGCTGTGTGGGAGAGGTACTTGTAGTTAATAATCTATATTTAAGGAAATAGTTCTAGGTGAGAAAGGCAGGAAAGATAATCTCGGCATAATCTTCTGGATTCCACCTTCCCTTGCATTGTAAGACTTAAGGTGCCCAACCTTTGGGTTTTGCCAGCGCCAACGGGAAACAGCCCATGGCTCAGGTGGCAGGTGGCTGACCCTCTTTGGACTAACCACAGCCATTGCCAGTTATTCATAGCGCTCATCCTACAACTGAGGCTTTCTATGTGAAACAGTCCCATCCACAGTCATGATAGGGATCAGGCCTCATTCCAGCCTTCACACTGAGATGTCAGGAGGTCAAATCAGGCCTTCATGGGTAAAGATCTGATTCTGAGATTTCCAGGAAGAAAGGCCTGTGTGAATCAAGGGATACTGCAACTTTATTCATTTCTTTCCTGAGAAAGTTTTTATCACCATTGGGTATTTTGTTTTTAAAGGGCCAACCCAACGCTAGTGAAGACTACAGAGAAGCTTCTTGTGCCGTGAACCTCGTTTTAAGATTAAGGTAAATGATACTGGTTTTTCTGCATTGTTTTTCCTATGGTACAATATTCTGATTGCCTTCATTAACTTTTCATAGTATTAGCATGAGATAACATTATTAACTTAACTTGATTTCCCTGGACAACCAGTGTATGCTGTATTCCCAGGACTAATTGTATTCTTCTAATCGCTTTCTAAAGAAGAATAAGAAAGAAAAGCTTGGTAGGAATGTATGTCTGCAGGCCTCGTGTATCTTTCATTAAGTTTTTTTTCTTGTCTTTTCTTTCTTTTTTTTCCTTATTTACAATGTAAGATCACAGTGAGAGATTTTTAATGAGTTTCTTTCACACTTCAACAGTCAGTCTCTGACAGAAGCAAACCACACTCCTACTACAAGCTGCCTGTTTAGAACATTTTTTCAGTGGCAGGTTTGATCAGCCACTGTGAAGAAATGACAGATAATATTTTGAAAGAAATCTCAGCCTTCTAGGAAACGGATACAAATATGGTGGCTGACAATGTCGTCTTTGTCTATAGTCTTGTGAATAAAAGCTGTTTCTTTTCTGAGGATTTTCAAATGTAAAGGTCCATCTTTGTAATGAGATTTGTTACGAATTTGGTATCTCAAGACGAAAGAAAATCGTTTAAATTTAACTTTAAACTCAACTTTAGTTGATCAGTTTGATCAGAGCACCCTCACATTTTTGAAGGTGTTTTAAAGGAAGTTACATGTATGTTCTTCTGACAGTTAAAAAAAGCATCTGGTGACTAGACATTGTCAGAGCTGTAGCTATAAAAAGCAGGTTCATCCGTAAGGTCAGTTTCCAGCCCTCTGAGTTCTCATAGTCGGTCAGAGTGGATTATCATTGCCATAACTGTGCCTTCTGATGGTCATTTATAGTTCGCAGGGCACTTTCACATCCGTACCAGGGGAACCTCACAATAACTGTTGGTGCAATTCAAAGTTGCAATTCAAAGATGTAATTCAAAGTTGATTTCCCTTGTCAAGAAGTGAAATTATTACAAGACTATTTTTCTTATACTTGAAAGAAACCTTGATTAGTATTAATAATAGCAAATTTGGTAATCCCCAAAGAATGAAATAGCCCATTTCCTCTTTGATTCGGAACCTGGTACCTTTTTCATTTGCCTTTTGCTTTTTCAGTTATTTACTCATCAACCAGTATTTACAGGGGACTCACTCAAGTGCCAGGCTCAGGGTTTGTCACTGAGGTGCAGTGGCGAGCGACCCCACAGAAGTTACCATCCAGCTCCATGAGTATGTGGTATTGGCAGTGACCTTTAGAATCCGATGATCTTACATGTGCAGGCATTTTTTTATTTTATATGTACAGGAATCTTTTCTTCAGTTTTCCTTCTGGATGTTTCCCTAACCTCTGTGCATACCCAAACTCACTCTTTCTCCATGATTGCCCCTTAGATACTGAAAAGCTGTCATTCTTACCTCATTGTGCTGGAAACCATTATGGTCCCCGTCAAGTACCTCCTTGGGAAGCTACGTACCAATGCCAGCACCTAGTCTACCCTTCAGAGCAATTCTGGAACTCTTTCTGGAATGGCCATCAGAATTGTCGTTTTATGAGAGGTCTCACGATTTAAGTTTGAGAACTGATCCTAGGAAAAGCACTATGTACCTCATTGCTGAATGTCACTACGGTCACCTTCAAAGCACTCCCCTTGGGAAGCCATGCACTGATGCCAGCACCTAGTACACCCTTCAGAGAATACATATTTACACACGTGAATCCGTTCACAGACTTCGCTCTGTGTCTATGATTCACCGGTCTACACACTGTGTGGGTATCAGGCGCTGGGGAATATAGACTGTCTTTCTTACCCTCTGAGGTTATCCAGACCCCGTGCTTAGGTGGGTTGTGCTCCCCAGTTGGGTGAGTAGGATACTTTGGCTGCCTTTCCACCAGTCCTTAACCAGTGCCATGTGTGTGGCTGCCCTCCTCGCCTCTTGGAAAGGTTACCCTTTCTTTTTGACAGAGCATTTTACAGACCTACCTGCTAGGATCATGGTTTGCTTCCTTGCTGCACACATGCCCCCTCTCCCCGTAAACCTCACTTTTGTTCTCTGAGTAGTACTTTACTTTTCAAAATGTCACGTTTCTGTAAGCAAAGACGAATACATTGTTGACTATAGGTAGTATATTTCTGCATTATTTATTTATGGTGATCATAGGGTAATTTCTTTCTTGAAAAGATACATGATTGCTTTATTTTCAAAAACTAACCTGTTATACCATGTTCCCTGAAAATAAGACACTGTCTTATATTTGTTTTTTCTCAAGAAGATATACTAGGGCTTATTTTCAGGGGATGTCTTATTTTTATTAAGTATAATACAACAGTCTACATTTATTCAAATGCAGTTAAGTTCCCCTGTCTGGAACCTGACAGGGGAAGCCGACCTTGTTGGTGGGGCTGACGCTAGTGATGCGTGAACTCCTTTCCCCTAGCCGTTCGCACATGTGCAATAGGATGCCTGGATCGCAGTTACCACATGCTCACCTGCACAAGTGCAAACAGCTCAGAGAAAGGAGCTGTGGCAGATAAAAGGTATTCCAGTCTTCCTTATCTCTCTGTGCAGAAATGCAGGGCGTGGCTATGCTATAGCCACACCCATCGCTAGGTCTTATTATCGGGGTAGGGCTTATATTTAACAAATGCATAGAAATCCTGCTAGGGCTTATTTTTTGGGTAGGTCTTATTTTGGGGGAAACATGGTATGTAATGTTTGAGAAATCGGATTAGATTTTATGTCTCAGTGTTAAATGCTGGAGATAGTTAAATTATAGATTTTTCCCTTTTATGTCCTTTGAAAATGTTCTCTTGTGCATTGTATATGTGGCAGTGTCATCTATGCTATCAAAGAATTGAGGATCACAAAGTCAGGTACAAGATAAGGAAATCCTCCTAAGCACATCTCAGGAGAAAAATATCAAGTGGGCCGCCTTGTGACTTACATATTGTCATAGACGGTGTAATAAAATTTCTGGTTTGAGTAAAGCATTGAACAAATATTTTGCCATTAGTATATTTTTCATATAATAGTCACATATTTGACATAAAACATGTGTTTCTTAGAACCAGGCTCAGTGGTTTAGAACAATGATAAACTTAGTATTTAAATTGTTAGTTCTTTTGTGTTAGATGCTTTGACACCTTAGCCCCGTAGGTGGCAACTATAGTTGTGCTGTAAATGAAGGAAGCCCTGATAATTGTCAGACATAGATGTGCTGGTGTGGTATGTTCCATCAACTAGTTCATATGGATTTCCATACGTGAACTTGAAGAGTGCCATACGTGAACTTGATACTGCACAGCAGTAGACCCCAGATTAGTACAGTGATTTCCTGCTTAAAGGGAAAATGGTCTCTAGGGGGATATTTATTTTAACAAAAATTCTACAGCATGACAAATGTTATGTAATTCAACTTAATTATTTTAGTTTCTCTGTTAAAAGGTGCACTTAGCTACTTGTAAAGAATAGACTTTGTAAATTACGATTTCACAAAGAAAAGTACGTCTGTTAGCAGCATTGATCTCTGTTTCAGTGTTGGCATGCCTGTGTCTAACTGTATCATACCATTATTCAGAAGGCATTAGAATTCTTCAAGTGTTCTCTAGCCTATAAAATAGGGTTAATTGCATCATTCTTCCCAGTCAAGTGGCTGGGAGGCTTGATTAATTTTTCCCAGAAAGGTTAAATGGTGTGTAGGCCCAGGTTCAGTTATGCAATGCTTTTTTGGTACATGTTCTTCCTCCCCACCCGCAAACAAACTACTTATTTACTGCTTTCTTTGTGGAAGGCTTTGTGGAAAATCCAAAGAGGAATAAGACAGGGTTTCTGTACTCAAAAGAGCTTTACCGGGTAGGTGGAGAGATCAGATCCCGCACAAGTGGCTGTAATACAAGGTAGAAAGTGATAAATGCAATAAAGAGAGATAAAAAGAAGAGCTATGGGTAGTTGGAGGAAGGTGAGAGCTCTTTTGTCTGGATGTTATCTTTGGTTTGCTTGTTCCCATAGTAACCAGTGTTTATTTCTTTTTTCGACAACCAAATTTTGCAAAGAGTAATGGTTAGAATGAATCTGGGACAGGCTCTGGCCGTAGTCTCAGGTAAAGAAAGGGCTTACTAGCCTTCAATAATTTCTAGCAAAACTATGTTTATTTTTCACGATAGTGTGGTATCTCTTATTACGTAGACACCAAGTTATTAGCAATACAGGTCTTTAGTCTGAAAAAACATTCAGCAGTTTTTCTTAATTTTTGGACTGTTCTCTTTTGGTTGTTTTCTTTGGGAATTGGAGTCGTTGTTGCACATCTGGGGTTTGTTATGAGTGGTGTCCTTTAAAAAGATGACGTCCCTACTATGGGACAGGAGCTATGGTAAGCATGTCTTTTGCTTTGTCTTGTTTAATTGTTAGAAATACATCATAACGTCAATCCTGTTGTTGCTGCCATTTCATAGGTGAGGCTCAGAGAAACAATTTGCCTGATCCTGTAAAGCCGGTAAGAAGCAGAAGTGGGTCATAAACTAGGTCTCCATGATTCGTGTTCCCTTCTCCACTCGACCCTGTGGTCCTGCTCTGTAGTCAGTTCCATTCTGAGGGAGGAAAGTCCTGCACTTGGGGTTGCTACATTTACCTGTTTCCTCATTTAACATATCACATAAATATTCTTTTAACAATGTTTCCTGATAAATTCATCATTAAATATTGTGACATGAGTATCTGAAAGCGTTTTTCTCAGAGGAGATAACTAAAAACGATGATACAAATAGCAACCAGCATTTATAGTGTTGGACAGTTTGGAAAGCACTGTCACACCACTTACCTGTTTTCATTTTTCCTTCATCTAACATTTGCTGCTGGCAGATGAAAAAGAAAGATAGGAGATGTTAAGTGGCTTTCCTACGGTCACAGAGCTAATTCCCCACTGGCAAACATCTGGGGCTTCTGTTACTGATTCAGGGTTCTTGATGGCATGTTAG